ATTGAAATTTTTGAAATTTTTGAAAAAATAAAGACAAATTTCGCAATAATTTCAATTTTTTCAAAAATTTCCTTCAAAAGGAAAAATTTTTGAAAAAATTGAAATTTTTGAAAAAATAAAGACCCTGGCCAGGCCCGGCCGTCGCCCACCAGGAATCTTTAAAATTGTTGAAAAAATTGAAATTTTCAAAAATAAAGACAAATTTCTCAATAATTTCAATTTTTTCAAAAATTTCCTTCAAAAGGAAAAATTTTTGAAAAAATTGAAATTTTTGAAAAAATAAAGACCCTGGCCAGGCCCGGCCGTCGCCCACCAGGAATCTTTAAAATTTTTGAAAAAATTGAAATTTTTGAAAAAATAAAGACAAATTTCTCAATAATTTCAATTTTTTCAAAAATTTCCTTCAAAAGGAAAAATTTTTGAAAAAATTGAAATTTTTGAAAAAATAAAGACCCTGGCCAGGCCCGGCCGTCGCCCACCAGGAATCTTTAAAATTTTTGAAAAAATTTAATTTCAATTTTTTCAAAAATTTTAAAGATTCCTGGTGGGCGACGGCCGGGCCTGGCCAGGGTCTTTATTTTTTCAAAAATTTCAATTTTTTCAAAAATTTTTCCTTTTGAAGGAAATTTTTGAAAAAATTGAAATTATTGAGAAATTTGTCTTTATTTTTTCAAAAATTTCAAAAATTTCAATTTTTTCAAAAATTTTAAAGATTCCTGGTGGGCGACGGCCGGGCCTGGCCAGGGTCTTTATTTTTTCAAAAATTTCAATTTTTTCAAAAATTTTTCCTTTTCAATTTTTTCAAAAATTTTTCCTTTTGAAGGAAATTTGAAATTTATTGAGGAAATTGAAATTTCAATTTTTTTTTTAAAGATTCCTGGTGGGCGACGGCCGGGCCTGGCCAGGGTCTTATTTTTTCAAAAATTTCAATTTTTTCAAAAATTTTTCTTTTGAAGGAAATTTTTGAAAAAATTGAAATTATTTCAATTTTTTTTTCAAACAATTTTAAAGATTCCTGGTGGGCGACGGCCGGGCCTGGCCAGGGTCTTAATTTTTTTCAAAAATTTCAATTTTTTCAAAAATTTTTCCTTTTGAAGGAAATTTTTGAAAAAATTGAAATTATTGAGAAATTTGTCTTTATTTTTTCAAAAATTTCAAAAATTTCAATTTTTCCAAAAATTTTAAAGATTCCTGGTGGGCGACGGCCGGGCCTGGCCAGGGTCTTTATTTTTTCAAAAATTTCAATTTTTTTAATAATTTTTCCTTTTGAAGGAAATTTCTGAAAAAAATTGAATTTTTTGAAACTGGTTTCTGTATTCTCGTATCCCCTATGCGTCTTTCGAAACAACAGAGACCTGCAAATCATACATAGAGGTCCAATACACATAAAGGTATAGGGTTTGGGTTCATGGGTAGTTATAGGGTTATAAGTCCCCTAATTGGGGTTATAAGTATAGATACCCTAGTTATAGCCCCACTCATAACTACCCATGAACCTCCAAGTATGGGGGTGGGAAGAAGTTTGAATGATGTCCTACTATCGTCCCTAATATACATGTAATATGGTATACATGTAGCATCATATAACCCTTCATATACCTGTAGTACAATGTACCCCAAACCCGATTCAAGCTTCGGGCCTTGGGAGTCGGGAAGCATGCAGGCAACAAGCCGCATGTACAAAGCAAGAAGTCTAAAGCCTACTATAGCGGCCTAGGGTTTGGGGTTTGGGGTTTCGGGTTGGGTTTAGGGTTTAGGGTTTGGGGTTTAGGGTTTAGGGTTTCAAGCCTCAACAGTCAGAATAGGATCTCTCTTTTTTGGAGGGGGGAGCGGGGGTACTTTTGACTATAAGTCAAATAGGGCCTTGAAGCCCTATAAAGCAAGCAAAGCCCTAAACCCTAGATTCCAGACAGACCGACAGGCCTGGACGGAGCCTTAGCTTTATACAAGCCCTACAGGAACCCTTGCAGAACCCTTGAACCATCCACACTTTGGCCTTGAAAAGCCCGAACCACACCCAAACCCTACAAATCCCAACGAACCTGATAAAGATTCAGGCTTTAGCCGTAACGAGCTTCGGGCTCAGGGTTTGTGTCCCGCCAAGAACCTAGACCTTATAGCCCGATCATACAAAGCCTGTTGAACACACCTCATTCAGACTTCTACGATATAGGGGCCTGAAAACTGTTTCGGGTGTTATGACAGTATAACAGTAGAACCACTATAAACGGATACTTGTATTACTTCTTCCGAACCCGTAATATGGGAGTTTCCGAAAATAGGGGACCCTAATATGACATAGCTTTTGGACCCCAGCATCAGGTACCCCTTATTCCGCGCCCCCCCCCCACCGCAACATAAACCATCATTCAAATGCCTCATCTCATCCAGGTAGTTCCCCTTGGCGAACTCGACAATTCCGGCCTCAGCTACACCCCTAAACCCAACCTTCAGGGCTTAGGGTTCAGGGAGTTTAGGGTTCAAGGGTTTAGGGTTTAGGGTCTAGGGTTTAGGGGTTTAGGGTTTGGGGGTTTAGGGTTTAGGGGTTTAGGGTTTAGCGCAACTCTAAACCTCGGATACCCCAAACTTCAAACATTAGGCACTCTCAAGCCCTAAACTCGGCTGCTCTCAACACAGGGGCCCCTTTGCTCAAAGGGATTGAATCTTCCATCGTCGCCTCAATTTGGGGGTTTTCGAAAATACCCTAATATAGTTCCACATCGTAAGACCCTTATTATAAGGACCCCCAACATAAGGTATGCCTAATTTTCGGAAACTCCCACTTGGGGACACCAGGGGGTCAGGATTCCAATCGATGCGTTGGATCGGAGGAGTGGCCCCTGATCCTTTAAGTGGCCCGCGACTCGGTTTGGGGTTTAGGGTTTAGGGTCTAGGGTTTAGGGTTTACGGTTTGGGGTTTAAGGTTTCGGGTTTTTGTTTAAGGTTTCGGGTTTAGGGTTTCCCCCATCCTTGAATCCTAAAGATTACACCCCCTCATGTAAAGGTCGAAATAGCGGGCAGTAGTATTCCCTTATCGTACTCACTACATATCATGCTATGCAAACTACGCTTCCCCCAAATCTCTACTAAGTTCCACTTGACCCGTACATCGAAGCCCTGAACCGCCAAGCCTGCAAAACCACAACACAACCCTTACAATTACGGGGTTTAGGGTTTAGGCTTTTGAAACCTATGAACCCTCTTGGTTCAACCGCTCCTAAAGCTTTAAACCTTAAACCCTCGACCACTAAGCCCTGCAGCGCTTTAGATAAACCGCTAAGAAGACCCCCTGGTTCTGGCAATGTGGAAGCCTGTATAATTGAAGATACTACTCCTTTATCATATACCCCAAAACCATTCTGATTGTTAAGTCCCGCCCCAAGTCCCATTGTCGAGGCCCTTAAACCTTAAACCCTAATGTCGTGTATTATAGGGGCCTTAATAATTCGAATATGTTTTTGGGGCCCATTATACTATAAATATAATAAGGAACCCCCAAAGTAGTATACTCTTCTTCTGATGGACTCCAGTGCCGCTGGGGGCGCGTCTGCTAACCAAAATAGTATAGGTAATTATTCAGGCCCCTATAGTAAAGGCCCGGACGTCGAGCATGGAGTCACCTTGCGCGTTGGAGACGTCGACGCCCGACAGCACCTGCTGCGGTTTGGGGTACTTGGAGGTTCATGGGTAGTTATACGTAGGGCTATAAGTCCCCTAAATGGGGTCATAAGTATAGTTACCCTACTTATAACCCTACTTATAACTACCCATGAACCTCCAAGTACGGCTCGGGGCCTTAATCATTAGAATAGGGTTTGGGGGTTCCTCATTAAGATTATAGTTACAAGGTACCCCCAAAGCCTGTCTTCTAAATAGTAGGGCTCCTGTGTTACGGCTTGGGCCTTGCAACGGAACTTGAACGGGGTCTGTGATGTGCACTCTGCAGGACCTCACTTATGGGTCTGATGAGGCTTCCGGCTTTTGGATGTGTCGCTCCGGGTTTAGCTCTTCGTGTCAGGGCTTTGGGCTGGGGATTTTGTTTGATGGGGATACATCCAACACATATACATGCACAATCACACACACACACACACACATGCAAGTGAAGGTCAGTGTAGAGTATGCTGAAGTTTCGGGATGTGGTGCACGGGGCATCTTCGTGGGCTCGCATGCTGGTTCGTTATTGAGTGTGTGTGTGTGTGTGCTTGCACGTGTGCGGGTTTAAATGCACAGGATTGAATCACGCTGCAGAGGGTTCCCAGAGTTTTCCATCCCGGGTTCAACCTGTCCGGTTCGCAGGCGGTGTGGCTGCTAATCAAATTGCAGATTTGTCACAAGGTCAGGCAGAAACCCAATCCCGTACATTTTCCCCAACTCAGCACCGTCAAACAAACAACCCTCGAAGATTCAGTTGCCGTGTTCCTGGTGGTAATGTAGCGACCTTGACATTCACTAACCTTATTCCTTCCACGGCCCTATGCGATTTAGTACCTAGCTTGGTGGCTTGTTGGAGAGACTTGCCGATGTGGGGAGGGGGCCGGGTGGCGGTTTGAAGTTACAGGCTTTACGGATTTGTAATCGAGTCTTTCCAGGCTGGGTTGTGGTGCAGTGAGCTCCGGGGACATCACATCACACAACGATCTAGGTTGGGAGGAGCCAATCCAGGGGCCCTAATCATTAGACTCGGGTTTGGGGTATATTCTACCATAAATATGAAAAGGAATCCCCAAACTAGTATTGGTAAATATGTAGGTCCCTGTATCAATGCACTGACACGAGAAACGCATCCCCCTTTCCTCCCTTCGGCTCGCTTGTCCGGGGCATCTCTGTAGAGCCGTCGGGGGAGGCAGCTTTCGAAGACGTCTGGCCACTCCTTCCCCTGGTGTCGCTCGATGAGGATCTGCATCACCACCTGGGCTCTTGCTCGGGAGCTTGATGTAAATTACCATGATCACGAAACTCTAGTATGTACTGTAGATCCATATTCTGGTCACTCTCCTTTAGAACAGCCCAGCCACGTCTATGTTGAGGATGGGATGAAGACCCTTTGGGCCGTATTCCTTGAGCGGCAACTTCCGCAGCTGCAAGTCTTGATCCTTTGCCTGGTCGAAAGTCCTTTTCTTCTGAACCCTTCGGTCGACGAGGCCCCCGATGACATAGATCTTGTCTTCATCGATGGTTTCGAGGCATTCTCTGGCATCGGGCGAGAGGATTACCAGATCCTCTGAGGGGAAGAGCTCCCAGACGCTCTCATCGTGCACATGCAGCTTCCACCCTGATAGCCCGCTGTTGGTCAGATGTGCACTGGCTGGATTCTGAGCATCTAAAGACGTGAGGTGCAGCTGGAAATTCGCTCGCATACGCTTCAGAAGTGTGTACACTAGCTTCACCTGTTGCGCCAGGGACCTGTTTTCCCTGTCTCCCATAAATTCCCCGAAGCTGCAATTGATGACAACTCGGGGGCGACCTCGCTCAAATGCTCGTTCCAGGCTTTCTTCCATCTCAACTTGCTCCCGCCTCTCTTCGAAAAAGTATGCCCGCCTGGGATGTGAACCTCCTAATGAGAAGGGATCAGGGCTGCTTTTTGTAGTAGGGCATTCCATTCGACATTGAACACATAATTTCATTTAGACTCCAGACACCTCTCTACCTGCAGAAAAGCTTTGACACGAGGTTCTAAACAGGCACATAGGCCCAAGCCCAGGCACTTCTCTTCCTCAGTCATCTTTGCCAGCAGCTTCTGCCGGGCCGCCTTCCGACGAAGGGCGGCCTTGCGCCGCTCCTCTGCGCGGCCAGCCTTCCGCTTCTTCTTCATCTCCTGAAACCTCTGCTCCCTTCGCCACTGTCGCCTCTCTGATGGCGACAGCTTGCCGGGGGCCGGAGGCAAGGGAGGATAGGAGCGCCTCCGCGCCGGCGGATTCCGCGCCGCAACCGTGGGGCCCCCCTGGCCCTTCACGACGTCCCGGACTTTTAGTGCGGGTGTCGCTTTGCGCGGGCGGCTCCAGCTCCGGAGGGGCTTTGTGGCGGCCGCCACAAAGCCCAGCAGCCAGGTCCAAAGACGCCTCCCGGGGCCCGGAGAGTCGGAGCCTCGAGTTCTCTCCCCGGCTCCTGCCTGGATCCGAATGCCTCGGAGGTCCTTTAGCCGAGGAAAGCTCCATAGGACGGCTTCCCGTGGCACGGGAGGGCCAAAACCCGGTGCCAACATGATGCCTAGCTGACCTGCCGCGCTCTTCCCAGCAAGCTGACTGCTTTTATGAGCACGAATGAATATGTCCTACAAATGAACCAGAGATGAAGCAATCGACTTTGGACAGGTGCATGAACGTGATATCCGACACAAGAACTCTTCGCTTTCAGAACCCATACTCTCATGTAGTGGACTCCAAAGGTAACTATGTATATGCGTAGCTTGCTACTGATCATGCTACACTCGGGGGGCGTTTCGATCCGACCAGTCCCAAAGATACGTTCGCCCATGTTCCTGGTGGGTTGGCCGGTTTCCGAAAATAGGGAACCCTGATATAGTACCCTAACTAGTAGGATCCTTATTATAAGGATCCTAACATAAGGTGCCCCCAATTTTCGGAAACTCCCATGTACAGCAACGTGGGCAAGGCCTAGCGAAACTCCACATGGACCTTGAGGGATGGAGGACTTAGAGCACATTTGGGCAGAGAGAAAAACATAATCGTTGTCATTGAAATGCCCAGTCTTCGCGGTCTTAAGCCAGAGAAGTAAGCCCACGCTAAACGACAAAAGACATGCTAACCTCCATGCTTGCTTCCAGTTCGCCAAGGATGAAACAAGATCAAACATCAACCCTATCATGAACCCACGATGCTACGTTGCAATGGGGAGGAAAATCCGTCATAGCCGGAATACAGCAAACAAACCATAAGCCCGAATGGAGGGGCCTGAATAATGCCCAACATTAATTCATTCGGGTTCATATAACTATACTATAGTATGTCCCCCTACCCTCTGCTAATCATCAAGACCCCTAGAAACCCAAAAACCTCATACCAGATGCAACCCTATAAATCTTGATGAAACCCCGTCCAGAACTCTTCAAAGCAACCTTGACTAGACACAAACCCTGTTCAAATTCCTTCTCTAAACCCTAAACCCCTAAACCCTAAACCACAAAACCCTAGTCTAATTCCTTCCCTAAACCCTAAACCCCTAAACCCTAAACCGCAAAACCCTAGTCTAATTCCTTCCCTAAACCCTAAACCCCTAAACCCTAAACCAGAAAACCCTGTTCTAATTCCCTAAGGCCCCAAGTAAGCAAAAGCCTTGAGGTCTCCCACTCGGTAGTAATGCTGCATGAGGCCTGAGGTGGCTTCTGGCTGGTTTAGGGTTTAGGGTAAAGGGTTGAAGGATATTTGTTAGGGTTCGGGGTCTAGGGTTTAAGGATATTTTAGGGTGAGGGTTTAGGGTTAAGGGTTTAAGGATTTTTTAGGGTCTAGGGCTGACGACCTAGGTTTTGTGGGGTTTAAGGTCTAGGTTTCGGGTTTGGGGTTTAGGGTGGTTTGTGCATAAAGCCGGCCGATTGTCGGGGATTTTGCCGAGGCCAGCGGGAGCGGGCTGCTTGGAGTTTGGGGCCCTTTCTGTTTCTGGGCCTCGAGGTGGGTATTTGCGATTTAGAGCCTGCAAAATGAAGCCCTCTAGTGCAGTTTAGGCTGCAGAGTGCAGGATAGAACCTCAACCCACAATACGCAGGACGATGCCACCAAAATTCCTTTGAATTGATGTAAGGCCCAGCATGCACACAACCTTCAAACCCAAACGGTGTGAATAGGGTTATCCTAGGGACCCTTAGGTTGGGGTGGGGGGGTAGGGGACTTTGCTTCCTTGAATAAGCCTTATTACGTCATTATTATGGGTGTTCCCCCCCAAGGGTCCCTATGAGTTTATGACGTGTGGGACAGTCCTCCGCTGAAAACCATGCATCAAAGACAAACTTGAAACCTGCGGTTTAGGGTTTGGGGTTTCCGAGACTTTTGAACACTACGGCCCCGCATCACCACATCCCTAAGCCATCAATAGTATGAGACTCCCAATTGGCAGTACTAGTATCTGCCAAACCTGATGCCTGGAAACAACGGCAACAGTTTCCCCTGGTGGGGTTCAAATTCCGCTCCGGGTGTATGAACCTGACTCTAGGGACCCAACCCTCAACCCTTATAGTAGAAGCCCAAAAGAGTCATGTATAGGGAATCCCTGCACTAATTGTCTTTCATCCGGTTTCCAACTTCTTGGGGAAATGAGTAATAATGTTGACCTAGTGTCAGTATTTAAAGGTTCGACTCTACATGCTCTCAAAAGGCACTTTTTTTTGGCCGGGCTACAACCCTCGGGCGGGAGGAAGTCTCAGGAACGGGCTTGAAAAGATCCAGTGTCCGCAGAGTGGACCGGTCACCTGGCATCACTTTCTGGAGTATCTCATGTCACGGCTCTTGGGAGTGGGTGTCTAAGGCGACTGAACCCTAAACCCCTAAACCCTAAACCACTAAGCCGCAAACAAGGGAATACTGTTCGAAGAGTGAAGGTCCAAGGAAGCGCACCACGGCCAGGCCCAAGGTAAAGCAGAGGTAGGTGTACCTGACGCACCAGCTACGCTCTGAACCCTTGGCTTGAGGGTTCACATTGATTCTATTGTCTGCTGTGTTATGTTACTTAAGAAGAATTTGGGTCTTGTATTGCATGTTGTTCTGCTGCGCTATGTTATGGTATATTCTCTTAGCTATGTTACATTGCGATTACTTTATCGTGTATACTTTATCGTGTATATGACTATACTTATAAGATCATGCTACAACACACTATATCAGACTATATCTTATTCTATTCTACGCCAGTCTTTTCTAATTCTGTTGTATTTCAGCATGCTATACGAGATCATATTGCGTTATATTCTTCTGTATTATATGACATTGTGTTCTATCATACTATGTTAGTTTCTGAGAAGTAAAGATTGGGACCCGAAACACTGGAGACTAACCAAAATACATTATGATCTTTGGGTTTCATGGTTTGGAAGCCTACACCCACAAAACGCCGTTGAACTTCAAGCCTCTCCCGCTACTAAGCTCGAACTACCCATGAACCTCCAAGTAGGGATTACGGTTTAGGGATGTTGCAGCTCCAGGAACGCCGTGAGGATTCGAAGGCTGCTGAGTTCACATGGTCTTTTAGCAGCTTGCCAGATGTAAACCCTGAAGTCTAAACCCGAAATTTCCCAACTCAACAATTAGAGTAGGAGTTTGGGGGGGGTATATTATACTATACGAAGCAGATCCACGTGCGCACCAGGTCGGCTCCGGAATTCGGAATCGCGCATAGACAGCAGCACCAACGCCTCGCCAAGAATTTCATCAGGGTTCAGGGCTCAAGGTTCATATGCCCTACACACTAAACCCGTAAACCCTAAACCCTATTATGGTGTAGAGATAAGGGAGTATGGCTGTAGTCATTGGCCCATGATATGCTGAGCCCCGGGCTGACGACCCAGACCAGAATAAATCCAATGAGGATCAGATCGACGGTGTACGGGAAAAGGTACCTGACCAGTGGTTTAGGGTTTGGGGTAGGGTTTAGGGGCCATTTCACGACCCCAAAATCCCGAACAGACCAAGACGACAAAGCTGAGTCGGAACAACCACCCTAAAACCTAAACCCTAAACCTGATAAGTTCTACAAAGTATGCCGCATCGAAAGCTGAAGCAACTCTGGACCCCACCTCTGCAGCCTGCACCTAGGGCACCCTCGGCCTCATACCACTCTAGGAGCCATACTCATTAGCTACTGTAGTTATAGCAGGGAACACGCAGAATGATATAGCGCCACGATTGATTCAGGCTTCCATGTTGCTGAGATTAGAGCCCAAACCCCGAAGCCCTCAACAGCTTCCCAGAAAGGCCAATACCTCTTAATTTCAGGAAGATACCTTAAATCATAAGGGGCTTCATATGATGAAAAAAGCTATATTCCTTAATTAAGGAATATACCTTAAATCATAAGGGGCTTCATGTTATGATTGAAGCTCTATTCCTCAATTAAAGGGTATTGGGCTCTCTGGCTTCGGGGCACTTGATGCGAAAGGCGGAGAGCCAACAGGTGGCCACGAATACCGCCCAGGGCCTCGGCAGTTGCTTTTTTTGAGGAAGCAGGGGAAGTTTAGGGTTCAGGGATTGTGGGGGATTTACGGTTTAGGAGTCTAGGATTGCAGGGTTTAGGATTGCGGGGACGGTTTAGGCTTTGGGCTTTGGGGTTTAGGGTTCAGCGGTTCGATAGTCAGTACAGGCAGGGGTTGGCGGCTTATGGGCTGTCGAAATCAAACGCAGTATGTGCACGCATCATGCACGCATCTACAGATACAGTGTATACATGTGAATACGGGGTTCAAGGCTTGTAGAGGACCTCGACCGGATGATTGTAGTTTAGGCCTAAGGTCAATCCTTGCTAAACAACTGGCATTCGCACTGTCGATACACTTCTAGCAGACTGCACGACTGCACGACATATTCAAATCTGGATATAGGGATCGCGCAGATAAGGTAACACCAGCGTACTCCGAAACAAGCCACCTGCCTGACAGTACGGAGACTTCCCAAGGATCATGTAAACGAGTCTCTGTGAAGTCCTGGAAAGCTTTTTGTGTGGAGGTAGTTTAAAGTCTAAAGTGAGTTCTAACCCCAAACCCAAAACCCTAAAGCCTAAACTAAAGTCCCAAGCCATACCCCGCACCCGTAAACCTCTTGAAGCCCGTCTAAACTCCACATCGGACATTCAGTCCAGACAGAGAGGAAAAAAGGCAGCTCCTGTGGCATAGGTGTCGGGGCACTGGTATAAGTAGAATCGGGTGCCTCGGAGGGATTCCACAAGGCTTTGGGGATTTCGGGGTCTTAATCATTAGACTGTGGTTTGAGACTAGTCTGTAGCATACTTATGTGAAGGAAACACTAAACCGACAGCTCTAATCCACAAACCCCAAACCCTGAAGCCGCAACACCCTGCAATTCTAAGCAACAAACCCGCAACCCTAGAAAACCCTGAACACTAAACCAAACCCTGCAATAAGCCTGAACCCTAGAAAACCCTAAGCACTACTGTAAGCCCTACAAAACCGAAAGCCCAAAGCTCTCCCTGAGGCGCTCTTTTCTCGCCGCGGGTTGGCTACTCGCTCTTAGTCTTGGCCAAGGATTCGGTGACGAGCTTTTGGCCTGAGAAGGACACAATGGGAATCTTAGAAGGCTGGGTACCTTTTGTCACAGAGACCCTTGGGGGGGATACGGGGGAGGGGGGTAGGGGACTCTACTTCCTTAAATAGGCCTGATTAGGTCCTTATTATGGGCATTAAGCCCCCCGACCCCTCGCCCATACCCCCCTAAAGGTCCCTATGATTTTGAGTCTCTCATTCTTGCTTAGCTGTTATTCTTGGTGCCAGGGCTACTGCTACTACTGCTACCGCTGCTGCTACTACCACTACTACTACCACCACCACCACGACGACTACTACTACGCTGTTATCACTAATGTGTTCTTTGAGTTACAGAGTTTGGGGGTTTAGGCTAAGATTTAGGGTTCAGGCTCTCGGGCTTGGGCTTGTCTTTGTGGAGTCCCCGTCTGCTGGTTCGGGCGTAGCCTTCGGGTTTTCCGTCAGGGTTTAGGGTTTAAGGTTTAGGGCTTTGGGTTTACGCTTTAGGGGTTCGGGTTTAGGGGCGGTTGGCGACAGGTGAGGATTTTGAAGTCAATGGGTTTCCGTCTGAGTTTTTTCGTTCAAGTCTGACAGATCGGCCGAGAAGGTTTGGTTGCATCGACAAGCAATTCTGCTGAAATCCATGGATTTGCGACTTGAAAACCTCAAGCGAACCCTCAACCCCAAAACTCAAACCCTAAGCTCCAAATCCTGAACCCCCAACCCTAAACCCATAAAACCGAAACCCTACACCCTATCCTGAATTCAAAAGCCTAAACCCTTAAACGTTTGAACTTTACGTCGTCAGGTCCAGATTCGAAACTCTACGAAAGGTGCCTGAACGATTAGAATAAAGTGTGTTTGGGGTTTAGGGAAGAATAAGGTGGCGTTTAAGGGTTCCTTTGAATAGGCGCTAATTACTTTGAGTATCGCAGCAATACTGTTACTGATAGTGGTACAATCGTCGTGCCTAGTATAATTTGCAGCGTATGTTGCACCTTAGACCGCGAGCCCCACGAACTTCATCCTGCGGTAGGATCTCGGAACAGTGGGTAATCTCTTATCGCCCCTCCGACTCTACTGCAATATGCCCCCAAACCCCCTTCTAATGATGAAGCGCCCCCGAATCCTAAACCCTTCTTAAAGCCTCTAGGAAGCTCTTTGCTAAAGGGGCCCCCTCAAAGGAACTCCACTACGACAAGGTCCTGCATTATGGCGACTGGTCGAGTCTTAGCGCGCGGCTGAACTCCCAGAGACGGATCGCAAATTCGTCATTGAAGGCTTGTGCGTGGCGCGGCCTCAGGGGCTTTAGGGCGTAGGACAGGTTTCTGGGTTTGGGGTTTGGGGGTTGGGGCTTATAAGTTTTAGGGCATTTTAGGGGTAGCGCTGATTTCTCCGAAGCTTGACTCGCCCGGTAGCGATTGCAAGAGCACCTCATAGTATCTTAAAAAAGGTTATGGGTTTATGTAAACCAATATAGTAGAAGCCAGAAAGTTGGAATATCATTATGCTAAACCCTTTAAGGTAAATTCTAGGGGATCCTACCATTGATCCATATTCCAACTTTCTGGAGTTCCCTTTAAGGTAAGTTGAAGGGCACCCCCAAAAATTGGCATCCTATTATCGATCGAGTCTCGCGTTTGTTTCACGGCCCCTCGTTCTGTCCTTCAGAGAAAACCCAAAGCTGAATAAACATGCCCCTTAAACCCTAAACCCAAAGAGGATACCCAGTAACCTAAGAATAAAAAGGCCTCCTCTCTTTGGTATTGGGTAGCTGAAAAGGAACCGAGGACTACAAAAAGGGAATAAGGGTACTAGTGGGCATCCTAGTTCATGGGCTCTCAGCTGAGGGCTGAGGAGTTTGGCACGGGGATCCGTGACAAGGCATGTGGATGCTCAAAACTTCCACCGGGTGCCGGGCAACTTTCAGTATTTGGGGGTGCAGAACTGAGGGTTGACATACTTGGAGGATCCTGGGACTTAGTAGGTAGGGCTATAAGTGCCTGAATTGGGGTTATAAGTTCTTATAAGTGTAGTTACCTTATTTATAACCCCACTTACTAAGTCCCGTCATCCTCTAAGTACGCAGGCTAGCAAAGAAGCAAAGCTACACCGCGTCCCTGCACTGCACCGGCCCAAAAAGCATCACACACTCCACATGCGGTCCATGAGCCTAAACCCGTCGCGACCGTATGTAGACTGGAGCGGAGGCACGGGTGCTCCGTGGCGATGGGTACGATGAGCTTGCCACGCACCGGCCGTAACTGCAGGCGATGGAATGGTCCCTGTTTGGGGTCTGACTTCACCGTGAAGGGTTAAACCCTAAACCCTAAACCAGGGCTCAAGCAACTAGCTTTAGCTTTCTCCGGCCATTCTCTTCTCTACCTCATGCCTAGCTCTGGCTTCGAGGAACCCATGGCTTGGGGTAAACTCTCATGGATCGCATGGCGCATGTATCTTTACAGCTCATGGGCATGCAGCGGTGCTTGGTGCCAATGTGAGCCGAAACCTCGCGAGCTCTGTAGCCATGAACGTCCCCTTGAACCCGGCTGGACCTCGCTCGGATGATTAATGTCTGTCTTGCAACTCGACACAGCCAACCCTCGCTCCACTCCGTGAAACTGTAATATAGATAACCAATACTACTTTGGGGTTCCTTACTATAATTATAGTATAATGGGCCCCAAAACCCCATTCTAATTATGCAGGCCCCTATATGACGAAGCAAGACCGGAGAAGATCGCGGCTTGAAGCCGTCAGAGGCCGCATCTTCTCTTCAGCGCTGCCTCCACCTCAGGCGATGCCGCGCAGAAGAGGAGGTTCAGCGCGGCCTGCCGTTGGCCAAACGTTGTGTGATCCTAAACAACCCGAGCAGAAGTCATAGAATGGCAGATCTGGTAGCTGCTCTTGAACGTGACTCAGTGGAGCATCGGCAGGTCGACAATTCTGATCACCGCTAATTGTTGCGAGTATGCTTCTGACTAGTGCATGGATGTATAAACGCACAGAAGTAACAACTAAAGGCGCATGTGCCTGCGTGTGTCTGTACATGCATGTCGCATTTAGGCTACGCGACCTACCTACCTACACCTACCCACCTACCTACCTAAATCCATGTGTATATGTGTGTGTAGCTGTGTATAGATACGTAGATAATTATGACCTGATCTGATAGGATATGACATGACAATGACATGATGTGATGTTCGATTATATGTGATCACAAACTGGCGAGGGTCGGGGTGTCTCTTTGCGCCGGACATTCGCATGGCTGCGTCACTCCGCAGCAGCGTTGTTGAACATGCCATCGATGAGGTCCAGCAATCCCTCAAGATGCTGTCGGAGAAGGCCATTTAGAATCAGAGGCTCTGCGATCTGCAATGCAAAAGACAACATCAAAGTAGAAGCTGTGAGCACCCAGCCGTTTCGTAGGTTCCGGGTGACCGCTAAACCGAAGAGCTCCTGTCGGTTGTCGAAGACAGCGACTTTGTTCTGCATCGCTCGAAGCAGAGACGCATGTCGTTCCATAACCCGAGGATCTTTGGATCTACATGCAGAACGCATCGCCTTGAGTGTGGCCACGGATAGTATCCGATTGTCGCTCTCCCATAGAATGTTAATTGCCACACACTCCTCAAAGACTTGCCATAATACATAGAAGAGAATAGAAATGAGCAGAAACAAAAGCGTCAGGGGAAACGACCACGAATGGTTCTCCAACCAGTTCAACAAGCTAACAACAGAGAATAGCAGCATCAACATGAATATTATCACGCCAATAATCTCCACAACAACCGTCTCGTCTACAAAGTCTTTCTGGATGTAAGTCCGCAGCTTCCACCAAGCTTCTGCATGGTGAGTCTTTTGCAAATCCAAGCAAGCTCCACTGCTTCCAAACTCCAGCCTTTCCAGTGTTTCCGTTCTCAGGCGCTCTGCGAGCTCCTTCCTCAAGCTCTGCTCATCTTCGCCGCCTTCGCACTGTAAGATTTTACGCAAGCTATCCAGATTTCCAGAGCTCCACAGCATGTTGAAGGCGTCTGCTCTGGTGAGGGCTGTGAACACAAGAAGCTGGAGACGGTTCTCCTTCATCTCCACGTATGTCATGTTCAGAACTTTTCCAAGGAAGCGATACCAGGTGTATGTCGTCACGCACACCACATAAAATGTGACAACGCAGAAACTCCTAGACGTGGGAAGCGGCTCTTCACGTCCCAGGACTTTGATGGGTATGGTGCAGCCTTCGCAGGGCTTCAAGTAAAACGTTGCGCTTTCCTCGATCTGCAACATCAAGACGAGAAAAAATGTCAAGAGCGAGGACATGATCTGTATGGCAAAGGCTGTCCAGCCTGTAGCCGTTGACAGCTCTAGCTTACTGTCAGTCCCTTCTGGGCCTTCGTAGAGAGTCGGAAACTTCTCGCGCAAGCGCTTGAGCAACTCGTCATACAACTGCCTACTTTCATCTTGGCCATCCAGCCTGTTGGAGACTCCATCCTTCGGCAGATCCCCGGCTTCATCTGAAAAACTGTCTGGCTGGCCTTTCTGCTTGAATCTTTTGAGGCCTTCTGTCACAGCTTCATACTGACATTCCAGGATGATCATGGCGATTCCAGCTCCCAGTGAAAGGGCATCTCTCAATAGAGTCCTTTGCAGAAGGCCGAGTATGCTTTCGAGATCAAGGCTGCGATGCCTCACGCCTTCGCGAAGGTAGTCGGAGAATGTCCACAGATTTGCCAGTGGAGTTCCGAAGAGGCTAATCCAAACCCAAGAATGGTGGAGAAACCCACCCTGATATGGTCGCGAACCACTGGGTTTGCGCAGGCCATACTTATAGAAGAGAAAAAGGGAACAGAACAAGCCGACAACTGGGATCAAGCAGCATGCAGCCAGAAACACGTGAAAAGTAACCTCTACCCAGCGCTGCTTCATGTCAATGATGGTGATGCGAGGGTGAGGACGCGGGTCGGCACCTGCCGAGTCTTCTTCTGCCTCCTCAAGGTCCTCAGAACTCCGGCTACACCTGGGCGCCCGTGAGTATAAACACCTCTGTGACCCCGTGCACAGGAGCATTGCGTCTGGCCCGAAACGGCACGTCGGGATAGTCCTGAGGGTATCTCCTGAGAAGCCCAAGCTGCGGAGTCAAAGAAGCGGTACAAGCTGAAGCTGCCGCACTGAAGACTTTTTGCCCGGCAAGAACTGCAAAACTACCCTCGGACCTCCAAAATCCCGCAACCCCAGAAGCCTAAAACATCAAGAAGCCCTAAAAACATGTCCGTCAAAATCCGTGAGCCTCTGAATCACCGCATGCAAGTTTCCAAGTGGCCCCATGAAAACTGGGATTCCCCGCTTTCTCTTGTTCAGCTGTGGAGCTTCACAAGGAAACCCCCAAACGCAACAAACCGAAGAACGGGTAATAAGCTCCTAGCAAACCCTTAAACCCGTCGTACAAGCCCAATCAAAACCCAAAAACCCTAATCCCCACTACCTCAAGTTGGGAAACTACCGACCCCAGACGCCCTGAACTCTAAAAGCCCCGAACCCCTCAATCCTTGAAACCCTCGATCCCAAACCCTAAACTCAACCCCCAAAGCCCTGGAGGCACTAACCTCAATCCCCAAACCCCTCAACCCCTGAAACCCCCACTCTTTCCGTAGCAAATCGTCTTCCCGGGTTTGCTGGTTCTCTTTGGCCCACCCTTATTCCTAACAAAGAGCCTCTTCGGCGCCGTAGGCAAAGAGCCGATTCCGCAGCTGCGCCGCCTGGAAGGCCCATGAACCCAGGAAGGAGCCAAGCATGGCCTGCCGCGAGGGACTAAGTCAGACCTTGGGCTTCGGGCTTTTGGGGTTTGGGGGTTGAATGCATAAGGTTTAGGGTTTAGGGTTTGGGTGTTTAAGGCTTATAAAGGTTTAGGGTTTAGGGCTCAAGGTTTAGGGTTTAGGTTTTGGGGGGTTTAGGGCTTCTAAGGGTTAAGGGTTTTGGGTTTTGGGCTTCAGGATTTAAGGTTTAGGGGCTGCTTTTTTGCAGTGGCTTTAGGGCCTTAGGGTTCGGGCTTTAGATATTGTCACTGATTTGTGAATGCTGATGATATACGGCGATTGTATAACATACAATAATGAACTATATTATATTATTGTATACTGTATTATGCTATATATATATATATATATGTATATGTGTGTATATAAAAAATGTACATATATAGGTGTGTATATATATATATCCACACTGTAGTATACCATAATATGCTACGGTATTTCATTTCATGGAGTAATATACTAAAGTATGCTACAATCTGCTCTTACATACTCAAAGCATATTCTAGCATTCTACATGTCTAAGCTCTGGAGTTCGCCCCTATAGACATCTCTATGAACCCTCCCTAAACCGTAAAGCCTAAATCTAATCGTCTGAGCAAGATTAGCTCATGAAGTCTGCCTTTAGGCTTCATCAATGCCACAGGTTGAAGTCATACAACATGAACGGCATTTGGGCTAGCCGCCACCCCCCCCCCCCCAAAAAAAAAAAAAAAAAAAAAAACATCTGACAATCTATGCAAAACAGAAGCATCAGCAATAAACGACAACGATAAGTGTGTGTGTGTGTATATATATATACACAGGCATCCGGAAACATCAATCCAATTCACAAGCTCCCCGAGTGCCCTGAAACCCAAACCCTAATCACCAAATCCAACACCCCGATCCCCAACCCAGAACCTCGAAATTCATCTCCCAAAGGAGCTAAACATGCTAAATCCTGACTGCAGACCCCAAACCCAAGATCCCTAAACCGCTAAAGCCTTAAACCGTAGGCCATGCCTAGAAGCCCGTCGATTCGCTTACCCGTCCCGAAGTATGGCCCGTAGTGAACTTACACAGGATAAACTTAAAACCCCGAAATCCTGAGGCCCTAAACTTAAACCCCTGCAACAAAACCGAGGAAAACCCACAGAGCATCGAATGCCGAAGCTCGAAACCCTCCACATTCGTCGTCTTCGCCTGGGCCAACTCCCTTTGACCCTGCGCCAAACCCCAAAAACCCCGACCCCAAACCGTGGCCCCCAAGCGCCTCGAAATTGGCAAGCCGGAGCATCTCCTCCGCCAGGCTACATCATAGGGACCCTTAGGGCGGGGTACGGGGGAGGGGGGTAGCGGACTCTACTTTTTTAAATTCAGTCCTCATTATAGGCATTAAGGCCCCCCACCCCCGTCCCTGCCTAAGGGTCCTTATGACTAAAGATGGCTTTGTCGGTCCCGGGGTTCAGGGCCATAACAACTCGAACAGGATTTGCGGTTTGGGGGTTGAGGATTTATATAGGGGTTTGGGGTTTAGGGCTCCTTTAAAGGCTATGAGCGTTTTATCAGGATATATAGTGCCTTAGTGATTATAATTGGGTTTGGGGCCTTTGGGTAGGCTAGATTATGGCTATTGAAAGGAGCCCCGAGAAATGACTTACGCAAGAATTATTCGGACTTTTATCGTAGAGTCGGCTAACATTAGTTCGTGGGTATGATTGCTATGATTGTGGCAGAGCGTCGTTAAGGTGTGAGATGATGCCTGAGACTAAAACCATGGTGATGACGACTATGTCTGTCGGGTGCTTTGCAGGGAATGGGGGTATGGATCCCTATAGTCGTCCCTGCATAATCCCCAATAAGAGTCCCCAGAATCCATTCCCCCATTCCCCACTAAGAACCAGAAAGATGATGATGACGACCTTAAAACCGAAACTGGAAGGTATTTTGTGCGTGTGGGCTGCACTTCGAGCGTATGAAACCTCATTCCTGAACCCTACTTCCTAAACCCTAAACCCTAAACCCTATACCCCGGAACAAAGTGCTGCAGGTCTTGGGTTGGTCCTTGATCGCTAGGTGCCTCTTAAGGTTCAGGGACAGAGGGGTTTAGCTCGAACTCCTACATGGGGGTTTCCGAAAAGGTACTAAATTCCAGGATCCTTATTATAAGGACCCCAAAATAAGGTACCCCAATTTTCGGAGACTTCCAAACCCCTGAACCTCTAAGCCCCATAGGCTCCGTCGCGACAACGCCCGGATGCACGGCGTTGCTGTACACACCCAAGTGTCCAAAACGCCTGCATCGACGCTGCAGCGGTCTAACGTCTGGGTCGACCTATAGGCCCCATAGTGGTTCCTTTTGGGGGTTCATATTTAAAATCCTATAGGGTAATCCCAAAAAGGAACTTATGGGGCCTCTGTGTGAACAGTATGGGGGCCTTAACAAATGGAATCAGGCTCCTTTCACGAGTTTCTCTTTGCGGTTCACCACTTCAGGCGCTTTTTCAATCAGATCCTTGCCAATTTCGATCCCGACGGCCCGGCTTAGAGAAGGTGCTCAATCTTTGAGGAATATTACCTATACAATTTGAGGGTTCCTTATTATAAGTATAGTATTGTATGCCCCAAAACCCTATTCTAATTATTTAGGCCCCTGTGAGGAGCTTGCGGATCTGAACCCGTACGGCGCCTGTTAATTTCCTGGGAGAAGATGAGGTTGGCCAACTTAGCTGCGCCGTACCTTGCCTGGGACGGTTTAGGGTATAGGGTTTAGGGTCACAGGCTTGGTGTCATCTACGAGTGTCGTTCCTCATGCTGATTGTGGCTATGACTCATAGTCGCGTTGCTTTTGTTTCCCATCTCTCTCTCTCTCTCTCTCTCTCTCTCTCTCTCTCTCACTCTCAATAATCTGTCCACCTGTCCTTACTCGTCACGTTACAGCTGCTTGCCTGTAGTCTTGTGGCTGCACTTGTTAAAGCTTGTAGGTTGATACCTACATGACATGGTGGCGACGGGCAGGAGCAGGACCAGTCAGACTACAACTTTGCCCGGAAGCTCTATCGTCTCCGTACACTTTGGCTCTTGCTGCTCAGGAGCGTATGGTCCCATAGCATCCTTGTCATTGATGCCTGATCAGGGACTGAATTTCGCTCTAGCAAGCACAACAACAATTCTGGAGCCGCAGTCATCAGAATAAAGCTTTGGGGTATGTTGTACTTCAGATATCCTGCGGACCACAAGGGGGGCGTACGAACTCTTGTTTTGTCGACCCACCGAGCGTAAAGTACCCTGGCCTTCCAAGGACAGCGGCACACCTTCTACCGGCGCACCGCGGTGAGCACCGGACGTGAGATGCACCAAGCGTCTTAGCCGGCAAAGGGCTTCTGGAAGTTTAGGGTTCGAGGTGTGGGGGCTTGATATTGGGCTTATGGTTTCCGGTTTGGGTGTAGTTTAAGGGTTTAGGGCTTTGGATTCAAAGGTTTTGGCACAGCAGGGCCCGTTGTGGTGAGGGGAAGCATATGCCAGTAAAACATAATAAAACCACCAAGATGTCAACACCGCAAAGGCGATGTGATTGGAGCAATCAGGCAGCGAGAATTCAATGAATGCATTCTGCATGACGTGCACGTTAAACGGTGCCTGCAGTGTTGTACTGCAAAAATCCCCAAACCTAAACCCCAAGCCCAAACTCCGAAACCCTGAACCCGCACGCTTACATGCCTCGAAGCCAAAACGCTGCACTCATCGTTTGAGGCAAGGGTCGAGGGAGACGAGCTCTGCAGCAGTGGAAGCAACCGTGTCGAGAGGAGGAAGTGGCCAAGATAGTTGGCCTGTATAGACGGTTCATGTGCAGTTATGAGTAGGGGTGAAAAGTCCCCTAATATGAGTCATAAGTATGGTTACCCTACTTATAAACCCACTTATAACTGCCCATGAACCTCCAAGTAAACCCTAAACCCTGAACCCTAAACCCTGAACCCTAAACCCTGAACCCCATAAACCCTGAACCCTGAACCCCAAACCCTAAACCCTGAACCCTATAAACCCTGAACCTTAGGACGGAGGGCCTCTGGGTGTACGATCTAGGGTGTAGTGGGTTCCGCGATCTGATCTGGTGACGCCGTCGACTTAGCAACTTTGTGCAACCTAGGCCGTTTAGGACTACAGGGATTTTTTGTTTTTCATGAAAAAACATATTTAGCAACTTCGTGCAACAGAGGCCGGTTTAGGATTACAGGGATTATATAGGAGTTATGGGGGTCATAGGGGTTATGGGGTTTAGGGTTTGGAGGTTTCAGGACCTCAATAATTTGAATAGGACGAAGATTTTCGAGCTTGTTGGAGTGCCCTCATGGGTCCGTTAATTTTTCCGCGCAGTCCCCCTGAACCCTAAACCCTAAACCTATAGAAGTGTATTCAGTATGCTAGTGACTAGCACCCCTCTAGCACCCTGGCACCCTGGCAGCGTCCCCAGAGTACCCTTGCAGAAGGGCAGAAGGACTTTGTGCTTGAGTTTGAAGCTCCCAACCCCAGAAGTGCCTAGGGCTGTTTGGATTGAGGGGGAGCTCTTTGGCTTTTAGGATTTAGGGCTTGTTGGCTTTAGGGCTTCGGGCTTTTGGGTTTAGGGCTCCAACACTACAAGCCTGGAAGGTAGTCTCGATGCCATTCTGCGTCAGCTTGTGTGGGAACTGGGTCGCGACGCCCGCATTGTTCACCTTAGTTGTCATGGTCAAGGGTCTGAACCATCAACCCTTAATTCATGAGGCCATAAAGCTACGCTCTTTCCGAGTTTAGACATTCCTAAACTTGCTCCCAGTGCTTCCCAGCAGCCAGAATATGCAATGCTGGCAGCCGCTCCAGCTGCGAAGCGACTTGCTCCACCTGCCGCAGGTCCTGCGAGAGAACCCCATCATTGTTGATTTTCGGATTTCGGGATTAGGGGCATTGGACGGGTCGAAAACAAACAAAATCTCACACATCAAAACCTCCAACCCTCCCGGCGTACACCGCAAAGCCAAACCAAAAGGGCCCCAGAAACCTCAGATTCTGAACTTGGCTGTGGGTTCCGTGCAAGCCCAGGCACTGTCAAGTCCAGCTTCAAGATCTCAACTTGCTGCAGACCTGGTTGGTAGGCTTTGGTAGATCAAGCCCCTGTTCTGTAAAGGAGACCTATCATAGAACCCCATCGTACCCTTAAAGGAGGGCGGTTAAGGGAACCCTTAAGAAGGAACCCTTGAAGAACCCGATCCCCTGAACCCGCAGCCTAACGTGCCCCCCAAAGCCGGCGCCTGCGAACGCGTGCTGGCACTTCCCCTCGTCCTGGTACTTTTTTTGCGAGTGCTATGGGTACTAGCCTTCTTCTTACTTTTGTTAGCGCGTTACTATTATGATGATTAAGTACTGTTGTACTCCTTCCATCTGCGGTGCCAGAAAAGATGAACCGAGTGGGGTTGTTGTCCGGACCGGGTACAACTGTAATTACTACCATTACTGCCACTGCTGTTGTTACCACTAGTATTGTTATTGTAGGAACACGGGGCAAAGTTTGAGGGTTCGGGGCATGGATGTAGGATCTAGGTGCTTGTGGTTCTCCACGATCTTCCGGCATAAGAGGCTTATTGACTTATAAGACTTCAGTTGTGGCAGTGCGGGCTTGGGGCTTGGGGCTTGAAGTGTCGCGGCGACGTGTCGTGTCGACGGCGTTGGCGGGAGTGTCCAGGCTGGCGCACACAGAATGTTGCGCTTTGAGAAAGTCTCGCAGATCCGGTACTTCTTATGAAATGCTTTCGCCGCTGTCGACTGTCTCCAGCGCGCAGAACGTCTCAAACTACATCTGTCTCCCTGCGCGTGTTGGAGTTACACTGATGCTATTACTTGCTTGTCTCAAGTAGTCTCCTGCACAGGTTGTCTTCAGGCGTCTGTGGAAAGACAGTGCAAACGTTGTGATGCGGACTTCGTCTGCGGATGTTTGGGGCTTGGGGCCTTTAGGGTTTAGGGTTTGGGGGGTTTGGGGGGTTTAGAGATGGGCTGACATTGCAAAGGTTTGAAACACCAGCCCCAAACGAAGGCGAAACCGCCAGAAGAATCCTGCGCTGATTAACTCGGTCTCGCGGGGCATAGTCGTAGACTTATGTTATGGCAGAGAACCTTCAGAAATTATGTTACCAGTTACGAAGCTTGTAGACTAGAGTTCAAGCACCAGCCTAGAAGCAGCGCACGTTCCTGATTCCTAGTATAGGGAGGGGCCTGAATATTTTGATTAGGGTTTTGGGCCCCTTTATACTATAACCATAATCAGGAACCCTAGGGCATAGTTTTGGTAATTATCTCGGCCCCTATATAAGGCTTCTTGAACCCAGCTGCGCGGCAGCCCACGAGTACGGAGGCGTTCGCCAGGGCAAGCCTCTTGCGTTTACAGTAGAAGCCCTATCGAGGCATCAATAACTACCTATACTATTTTGGGGCTTCCTTATTATGATTATACCATATTGTAGAAGCCAGAAAGTTGGGGAACATCATTATCCTCATGCCATTAAGGTAACGTATAGGGAATCCTAGCACTAATCATCCTTAGTCCATGTTCCAACTTTCTGGGATCCACTGTAGCGAGCTTGAGGCTTTATCGGATTTCAGGGCTCTGCAGTTCGGTTACCGTGGGACTAGGGATCTATAGTTCAGGGTTTTTTTAAAGTGCGTCCTCCTTTCTCCAAAGCGCGCCTACCCAGAAAAGTTTAGGGTTTGGGGTTTAAGGTTTAGGGTTTAGGGATCTGTAGGATCTATAGTAAGACATAGGGTTTCCTGTTCATGGTACCCCTAAAACTTGCAAGACATTCCCGAAGAAGATTCATCTTTTAAAGTAATGCTGTCTCCATTCTGTCACTTTTTCAGCAAAAAGCCCTCTTGTAAAGTATTGCTGTCTCTCTTTTATTTATACCTCTAAATATATACATATATATATATATATAAGTGGGGTAGGGGGAGGGGGGGTAGGGGGCCTTAATGCCCATAACAAGGACCTAAGAAGGCTTATTTCAGCAAGTATAGTCCCCTACCCCCCTCCCCCTATCCCCTAGCCCCCTCCGGGTCCCTATATGAAGAAGGCTCTGTTTGTCGAAATTCCCGAGGCGCTCACTGCCGGGCCGTTTCGAGACCGATTCCAGAGCTGGCGCCGGTGACGAAAGCCACCTGGAGGGTCGAAGCTCTACTTGGAGGTTCATGGGTAGTTATAAATGGGCTTATAACTAGGGTAACTATACTTATAACCTTAATTAGGGGACTTATAACCCTACTTATAACTACCCCTGAACCTTCAAGGAGGACTTGCTTCTAGGGTAGAGGTTGTTTCGTTTTAAGGTGCCTTTAGCGTCTAGAGTTTAGGGTGTAGGGATTTTGAATCAGGCACTCCGACAAGTGCTTCTTCCTTTAGAACGAGCACACCTCACAACTCGTAACACCCGCAACCCTAAGGACCCAAAAACTAGGCGAACCTTGGAAAGCCTTTGAAGGCCAGTAATAAGTAAGATCCTTTTAAGCCCAATAAGGGAAAATATAAAATGTCCCAAAGCCCTACCTAGAAAAAGGACCTTAGTAAAAACCATAAGGTCGCGAGAGATCCGATGATTCTTTAGCTCCGGAAACCCAGCATCAGAAACTGCTACACCCGCAGCAGACGATGTAGCGCCTTCGGCATCATTTCCCTCACCCAGCACATCCCGCAGCAGGTGTGCGGTAAGGTTTAGGAATTCGGGTTTCGGCTTTGGGGTTTAGGGGTTTTGGCAGGGACTATAAGGTTCAGGGATTCGGGTGTGTAGGGGGTGCGAATGGGGCTTTATGGTTGTCCAATGGGGTTTAAGGCTTTAGAAGGTGCTTAGCGGCTTAGCAGGGTTTTAGCAAGATCTCAAAAGAGTTGTAAGAGGTCTGTGGGAAAGCAGTGGTGTAAGGGCATAAACCTCTGAGGTTTTGCTATAGTGCTTTGTGGCAAAAAGTGTGTTGCAGACTAGAGCCTGTACCCGACTTTGCAGTCCACCTCTGGGGTTTCCGTGGGGGGTTTTTCATGCGGCTTTATCGTGCTTCACAGGGAGTCTCATAGGCTCTCACCCCATTCGGTCTCTGGTGGTCTGCTTCAGGCGGGTTTTTCGCACGGATTCACAAGGGTCCATAGGAGACTCTGGGAGCCTCTAGGCTCTAGGCTAAGGATTTGTTGCAACCAGAGCTGGGTTTCTGAGGGCTTCCCATAGCTTATATTTAAAGGAGCTCTGTAGAGGTTGTTCAGCTTTTGGATTTAAGGGCTTCGGGATGTTGGTCTTGATTTTGGGTTGCATCTAAGTTCTATCAAGGTTTTGTCTGCGCGCTTCGGGATCGCAGGGGAATTGGGGTCTTTAGTGTCGTAGGATCTAGTGTAGAACGGCTCAGGAGGCAGGGGTTCACAACGCTATCTACAACGGGGGTTCAAATATTGAACAATGATGGAAGTTAAAACTCCCCAAAATCGCTGACTAAGTTCGGTGGCCCACCGTAAGTGAGTCATTTAGCCTTGAGAGTTTAGCGCAGGCCGCCTTCCCCCTCAAGTCTGGCATGGCAGCCAACGTAAAGCCACGTGGTCGCCAGAAATTGAGCAGAGGAATGCTCCTCAATATGGGAATTTCCGAAAATTCGGGTACCTTATTTTGGGGTCCTCATAATAAGGATCCTATTATTTAGGGTGCTATATTGCGGTCCCCTATTTTGGGAATGCTCCTCAAGATGCGAAGAGCTCGTGAGGCCCACCGGTTCACGAAAGGTAACCTACCGCATGACGAGCACAGCTGCTACCCAGTAGAGTTTTCTGTTAGGGTCCGACATGAAGACAGATGTTTTCAATAAGATTTTCTGATGTGAATTACGACAACGTGTTCGCATTAACATTCATTTACGATAACTATAACGGCCACTGTGGCAATGTTGATGTTGCTGTCAGTGATGCTGCGCTCAACCTCATGATCGTCATTGACATAATACCTTTATCCATGGCTTTGCTGGCTTTGTTCTGCCATCGCACTCAACATAAGCATTGTCATTTTTGGTGGTGGACATCAGCCATCGGCAGCAACAATTTCGTCGTCATCATCATGGTCATACTCATCATCATCCTCGTTGTCGTTGTCGCCGTCATCGCATCGCCACGCTTCAGTAGGGTCAAGATCCTCATGATGACAAATCGGCTCATGGCCAATGTCACGAATGCCAGAGCTGGGAAGAATATAGTACTTGCTGAAAGCGACTGAGTGCCTGGAATACCAGATTGCTGCTGTGCATTTTGTGCAGCATCATTTGGCTATTGCTTTTCTGGGTGGCGATAGCAGTGGCAGTCGTCGTCCTCGTCGTCCTCGTCGGCGTCGTCGCCGTCGCTGCTGTCGTCCTGGCTGTCGTCATCGTCATCGTCGCGGACTGTGCAGTTTTCACCGATTCGGCACAATGGTATACCGATTCTGCAGGCACGAGGTACCAGCACCAGCATTCGCCCAGTACCGATTGTTGTGGAGCGCTGCTCATCGAAGCCAGGTCTTAGATCGTCTGAGTACTAGCGCGGCACGAGTATCAGTGAGAGTGGCCATCATACCCGTGAGCGCTGGCTATACCAACTAAATCCTAAGCATGGCTTGCCAACCTTGAACCGTGCATCTTGGGCCCCGAACCTGAAAGTTCTGAGCCCCGGAACCCGCAACGCCCACACTGGCGGGTCCTTCCACCATTCCACAATAAGTCCGCGCGGAGGATTATTGCTGCGAGCAACGCAGCCACAGCGATGCAGATTTGCATACGAGAGATGGGAGGCATGGCGTCGGCGGAAGCGGCCCGGCTTCTAGGACTTGGGCTGCAGAACTTGGGATTTGATTTCTAGTGCTTGGGTCCTTTAGGGCGGGGCTTCCCGACCCATAATGTGATAAGAATATGTGTCCTCGGCATTAGGCATCCAGCAGCACAGACAGAGCTACAGGTCGCGACAAAAGCACCCCGCAGGCGTACAAATAACGACAAAGAAACATGCTGATTGCGCAGACCCTGCACCCTGATTGACAATTTCCGAATCCGATACAAAGACGTTTCATCCTTTAGGTACTTGGAGGTTATGGGTAGTTATAAGTAGCGTTATAAGTCCCCTAATATAATGGGGACCCCTTTTCCCTTAATAAGGACCCCTAGGTATATACCCTTAATAGAGCCAGTATATACCCATTATATAGCCCATTATAGGGTAGGGGTCCCCATTAAGCGTCCCTCCTTTTCCCCTTTAAACATACTTTCCGCTGCTCAACTGGGAGCTGCGACTCCTCCTGGCCTACAGCTCCACGTAGAAGGTGCGGGGTTCAGAGCTCAAGTCTTGGGTTTTAGAGGGTTTACGGTTTTGGGTTTAGGGTATAGGGTTTAGGGTATGGGGTTTAGCGTTTAGGATGCAGTAGAAACGAGGGTTCTGGGTACATTAGGGTTTAGGGTATAGGGTTTAGGGTTTAGGGCTCAGTAGGAACATCTTGCTGACATGATGTCAGGCCCGGGATTCGTGCAGCAGCAGCATCAGAATCAGGGGAACGATGCTCATCCGAATCCTGCAGCTCCCAAGGCGAGAAAAATGGGCTTGAGCGTATGAGGTTCGGAGGCAGAGTTTTTCAAGAATTTCACAAAGCCCTACTTGGAGGTTCATGGGCAGTTATGAGTAGGGTTATAAGTCCCGTAATGTGAGTTATAAGTATAGTTACACTACTTATAACCCCACTTATCACTGCAGTCACTATATTACTACGACTACTACGACTACTACTGCTACCACCACCGCCACTGTTAGCTTGCCATTCCTGGTATGAGTCTTGATGAACATAGTGTTGCCTGTGGTTCAGCGCGGTACGTGGCTATGGACCCACGACAAGGGCTCTCTTCGTATTCCCACAAGGACAGCTTAGTAAGTATAGGGGCCTGAACAGTTAGAGTAGGGTTCGGGCGTATAGAGCACAGCTGCCGCCAACCCCATACAAAAACTATATTGCTGATTATTCCGACTATTCTATGCGAGTTTTAGGCTTGAGGCCCCAGACGCCCGAAATACGCCGAGGCGGCAACCAATTAACAGAAGCCACACGCACACACATGGCATTTCCGACAACCAGGGTATTCCGTTTAGGAACAGTGGCAGGGTATTACTAACAATCGGGGGTCCTAGTATATTCTTCGGGTTCTATGGTCTCCTACTTGCTGAAACTCGCATGTGGGCACATGGAAGAGCTATCGCAAGGTACGTGTATGCCTTGGTGTAGCACTAGCCCGACTGGATGTGCAAAGCCTACCAGAGATACATGCATATTGATGACACAGGACAATCAGGAACAACAGAAGAAAGAGCAGCAGGCAAAGAGTCGTTGGGTCTTGGCCCACGCTTTTTGTGGCATTAAACCGAGTCGGATGCGACCGCTTTCTGGTGCTGTGCCAGGACGCGGTGGGCGACTAGTGTATCGGGTGGTGGCTTCTTCATCTCCTCCCTGAAAGCTTGCAAGTCCGAATATTCCGCTAAGCATGCGTTGTATGACTTGCGTACGTAGCTTTGTGATGAGTTCGGCTACAAATATCGGCACATGGCTTGTTTACTTGCCCAAACCCAGACAAAAGCAACTACATCTCAAGAAACCACCAGATCCTGTACTGCTCATGCATTGGTCTAAGCATCATTCGCATGGCGATGCCCTCACAAGGCTCAAGCTCAAAATGCGTGTATAACATGGGAGTTTCCGAAAATTAGGGGTGCCTTATTCGGGGGTCCTTGTAAGAAGGATCCCAGATTTCGGAAATAGCCATATCGAGGAATTAATCAAACTAGAGGGGTTCCTTTAAAGGCATCCTTTACGGGTTCCGTTGGGGGGTTTAAGGATTCGAGGCCTTCAGAATTGAATCGGGTTTTGGGGTATCTTATGCTATTGTTATGTGATAAGGAACTCCCAAAATAGTACTGTATTGGTAATTAGGGATATCTTATGCCATTGTTATATGACAAGGAACTCCCAAAATAGTGTTGGTAATTAGTAAAGCCGCTACAATAGATCTGGGCTGAGGTAACAACGCGCGTGTGACCCTAGTCCTGACTGATCCAGTATCGCACGGGACCTAAACATAAAGGTGATAACATTTAGGGCTATCATGGTACCCCAAGAAGATTAAAGATCACACACTCTACTACTAAGGCTTTCAAAGTAAAACTCTTACCCAAAAGTCTATGTTGTTCGCCTAAGCCAATGTTCAGAAGGCTTCACCTGCGCAGGACAACCGCTTGGTTGCTGTAGGCATGTTTCGGAGCATCCGTTCTGCGCAAAAGGTTTCTCCGTAGATCATGCGTTTTGTGGGTTAGGGGTTTAGGGTTAACAGTAGAACCTTCATGAATCTGTTGCAATGGAAACAGCATGAAAAAGCTTAGGGCTTTGGGTATAGGGTTTGGTTTAAGGCAAAGAGAGCAATGCAACTAATGAAGATAACAAGAAACATAACAATCCGAGTCCTGATGATATTAACAGAAGTAAGCAGATAGGCACATGGCAAAGATGAACAACATTTCTGATGAGAGGTATTGAACTTGAGAAGTGTCGCACGTGCTGTCATGCAAGCGCCTTTTAAGAAAGAGAACCCGCAAAGTGGAAGTACTCGTCGGCAAGATATGGAGTGGTTACGGCTTGGAGCAAGAAAATGATCGGAAAGACCGAACAGCCGCTTCTCTGTGCAGTGGAAACATTGGTTCTCATGAGCTCAGGCTGCAGGGTAGATTACATAACAGCTTCTGCAGATCCAGCTCCAGAACACACCAGAACCCCAGCGATCTTCGTGGCTGAGTCCCCATGGTGCCTTGACGGCTCAAGTGCTGCTCAAAGAGCAGCTCTGTATGACATCCTGTGCAAGTGCCCTGTGAAGCCACGAGTTTTCGCCTAGAGCGCTTCACAGCAACCGGGACAGTGTTGGTGTACAGGCTCGTGAATGGCATATGTGAACCCTGAACCCCAAACCCAGAAGCCCTAAGCTATGTAATCGCGGGCTCTGTGGCTGCACGTGGGCCATGCTTAGGAAGCTAGTAAGCTTCTCGGCAAGTGCACGGTTCGCCAAGCTTTGGGCGAGCTTATTTATCTCCGTTTATCATCCTTTGGTCCGGACACCTTCGAATCCTCTTGTCTGATCTGAACCCTAAACCACCCACAGAAACCGTGTAGGGCCTAAACCCCATACCCTAAACCGGAAAAGCGTAGAACCCCACTGGCATTAGGCCCTACTTGGAGGTTCGTGGGTAGTTATAAATAGGGTTAATTATAAGTAGGGCAACTATACTTATAACCCTAAATAGGGGACTTATAAACCCACTAATAAACTACCAGTAGACCCTACACAAAACGTATACAACCCAAACCCGAAACTTCAACCCCGGGCTTGAGGCCCAGGCTCCCTTGAAGGATCAGAACTGATCCCTTCAGAGAATTTGGGGAGAAGAAGTTGGAGCACCCCAGCGCTCCATGTCAGTTGATGTGTGCCTTGAGACACAACCTCAAGCATTCTTCAGGGGCTCTGGAGCTCGGGG